TATTATTATTATTATTATTATTATTATTATTATTATTATTATTATTATTATTATTATTATTATTCACAAAAATGACCGTGTACACATCAAATGAGATAACTATGCTGGGTTTCGTATCACAAACCACCAGTCAAACACTTCCCAAGTGTTTAGGAAATATTGTTGTTATTGTTGTTGTTATTATTATTATTATTATTATTATTATTATTATTTACATCTCACTTTCCACCTTGGATTATAAAGCCTACTGTTTCTTCTTCCTCATTTTGGCCCTATAATCCTACCCATCTTGTTGCCGAAGAAAAGAAGGAAGGCATTCTGCCAGGAAAAGGGCAAACCACACAACTTTTTGTTCTGACAAAACCTCTGTCCAACTGTTTATTTCACCTGCCAGGCAGGTAGGTTTCCTGATGCCTCCTTCCTCTCCGAGCAGCATAGGGTAGCAACCAAGGCTGGACCACTCATGGCCCATCAAACACTACTAAAGCCCATGCAACCTGCAAGAGGAGTTGGAGAGGAGGCAGAGGTTGCCCCCTGCAAGTGCAAATGCCTCAAAACTCCTTGCAAAAAGCTGGGCGCTTCTTTTTCTGAATTGCGGGACCTGTCTCGAATTAGACCACCGCCACTCCGCGAAACCACCCACAAAGAGAAGTTCAAGCTTGTTGGAGCATCTCACTCGCCCCCTCTTGTTTTGCTTGGCAGACTGGAGAGGCGATATGCCATGGAGAGAAGCGAGGGGTGATTTTTTTTTCCCCGCCCCGCTTTGAAAGGGGTCTGCCTATCTCCTCTGAGCGACCCGCCCACACCTCGCCTTTCTTGGCGAGATCCCAACCCGAGCGAGGGAGAGACGCTGTACCTGTCTTAGGAGGCTCTGCGGGCACCTGGCCGAAGGTCCCGCTCGGAAACAACGATCTGACCTGCACCGGGAAGAAGCCTCTAAGGAAAAGCCCCACGCCCAAGGCCTGCACCGCCAGGCAGAAAGAAGCAAAGACCCCGGAGCGCAGCCGCATCCTTCAACTCCAGCGCAGGCGGACAGGCAGGTGAATCCGGAAGGAAGGTAAGCTGGAAAGGGACACACCTGCCCGCTGCACCTCCCTCCGGCGACCGAAGCAGGCGGCAAATAAGGATAGAATTGAAAAGCCAGGCAATCATAATAGGCCCAAAACGCTTTGCTTGCGCACTGATTGGCCAGCGGTTGTCCAATCCGCGGTAACTTAGCCGCTCGAGCACCGCGCTGAGGGAAGAACGCTTTGAAAAGAGGAAGTATGAGCGGACTACATGTCCCAGAAAGCCTTTGCGGCATCGCCTTGGCGATCGATAGAATCCAGTCGGTCTATCCTAGTTACTATATAACCCATCAATTTCTAGGTGCAGGTCCTACCTATATAGTTGAATATTTATAGGTAGCGTTACAATTGCTTGGATTTTTGTGCATGTTGGCCTTTAGAAGTTAGAGACTTAGAATAACTTTATTGTTACTTTGTACATTAATTGGCATACATTAAAATGAAATTTCGTTGCATTCAGTTCTCAAAGGGTCTCCACCTCTAATACACAATAAATAAACGGAGGGAGAGAGAATAGAATAGAATAGAATAGAATAGAATTCTTTACTGGCCAAGTGTGATTGGACACACAAGGAATTTGTCTTGGTGAAAATGCTCTCAGTATACATACCGTGTTTCTCATATAATAAGGCCGGGTCTTATTTTTTTTTGAGCCCTGAAAAAATGGCTAGGCCGTCTTTTCGGGGGTGACTTAATTTCCTCCCCCCCCCCCCTTCCTCTTTAAGGGGGGGGGGGGACGGCTTGGATGTTGACCTCAGCGTTGGTGGGGCACTTTGTATCAGGGTCAACGCAGGCAGCACCATATCCGGGTGTGCAACAAAAGTACTTCCTAACAGCAAGCCCCCCCCCGCCATTTCCCCCCCCCCATTTCGCATGTTTTAATATAGGCCTTAATTTGGGGGGAGCGGCTTAATTTCATTTCATGCCTATAAAACATGCTGGGACTTCCTATTGGGGGAGGCCGTATTGTTGGAGAAACAGGGTAAAAGAAAAGATACATTCGTCAAGAGTCAAGAATCATAAGGTACAACACTTAATAATAGTCATACGGTACAATAAACAATCAAATTATACTAGGAAACAGTCAATATATATTGTAAGGATACAAGCGACAAAGTTACAGTCATACAGTCACAAGTGGGAAGGGATGGGTGATAAGGAGTGATGAGAAGGTTAATAGCAGGGGTGGGTTTCTACCGGTTCTGTCCACCTCTGTAAAACCGGTAGCTCTGAAGAGCAGCAACATAGAACTGGTTCTATGTCTGCTGATGTTTTTGCCCACCCGCCCACCTGGGCTCTTACCTGATCTTTATTTCCTGATTTTTCAACTTCAGCTGCCGAACGAGGCACAGCAGCAGTTAAAAAAGCAGGAAAAGAGGGCTGTTTCAAAGGCTGTTTCTCTGCACGCAGCATGCTAATGACGATTTACAGGCCTGCACTTGCAGCTTGCAGGGAAGCACATCATAAATCACTGAACCTCGTAAATCCTGAACCGGTAGTTAACCCTGTCATATCCCACCCTGGTTAATAGTAATAGTAGTGCAGACTTGGTTAATAGTTGGACAGTGTTGAGGGAATCATTTGTTTAGCAGAGTGATGGCATTTGGGGGAAAAACTGTTCTTCTGTCTAGTTGTTCTGGTGTGCAGTGCTCAATAGCGTCGTTTTGAGAGAGTCGAAACAGTTTATGTGAGGGAAAGAAAAAAGCCTGTGAGGGAAAGAAAAAAAGAAAGAAAGAATTATGCACATACCCACATATATTATCTGATACAGAGAAACAACACAGTTTAGTTTAGATGTATACATGCTCTTCCTTTGGGATTTGTTTTCAGCGGAAAATAAGAAGCACATGGGGAGAGGTGGTTATTGAAATGGAATGTGTAAAATGGATTAAGACCAAGGTTCAGAGTTTAGCATAAAGACGTTTATAGAGTTGGAAAAAATAAAGAATAATTCCATATGTACTTGCAGCTGCAGATCAAAGTCAAAGTTTCATCATTATAATTACACAATTACATTTTGTATAAATATTTGGATTGTGTTTGTAATTATTGTTAGTATTTAAAGCAGGGTTTCTCAACCTTGGCAACTTTAAGACACGTGGACTTCAACTCCTGGAATTCTCCAGCCAACGTAGCTGACTGGGGACTTCTAGAAGTTGAAGTCCACATGTTTGCCAAGGTTGAGAAACATTGCTACTCTAAAGTGAATCGTATGATATTCTTTCTGTTCCAATATTTGTAGGGAAATAGTTTTATATTTATAGGTAGTCCTTGACTTACAACCATAATTGAGCCCAAAATTTGTTGTTAGTTAATTTAAGCTAATTTTGCCCTATTTTATGACCTTTCTTGCCAAAGTTGCTAAGTGAAACATTGCAGTTGATAAGTTAGTAACCCAATTGTTAAGCGAATCTGGCTTCCCCATTGACTTTGCTTGTCAGAAGTTTGCAAACGGGAATCACACAATCTTAGGACACAGCGACAGTCATAAACATGAACCAGTTGCCAAGCGTCTGAATGTTGATCACATGATCATGGGGATGTTGCAAAGGTCGTAACTTTGAAAACTTGTGATGTCACATTTTTTCAGTGCCATTGTATCTTTGAAGGGTCATTAAACTGTTGTAAGTCGAAGACTACCTGTAATTTTTTTTCTTTATTTTGGGGACAAAATAATATTGCATGTTTACATGTGGGACAGAGTCTGAAAGTTTATAGCTGTTTCTGATATTGATATTTTAACCATTTTTGCTACTGCTAAGGTATACTACTTTTACTGTTCAGTCTGTAGACCGACACTATTTTCAGTAGTGTAATTTGAAGAGAATTAAT